ATTTGTAATATACGGTTTTACGGGGCGAATAATAGATCTATAATGGAACGTTAAACATTGGCATGATCCGCAATAAAACTATGGCATTTTCATTCTTCTTTCAACTTACTAACTAAACTAGAACGTTTGCTGAGAGAACGCCTACTTAAACACACGACAGACGTTGTAGAGAATATCGTAAACTTAGAAAAGAGATGTCAGGTAGCAATTGCAGCGGACACAAATAAATAAAAAGGAATTACATTACACCAATTGTGTAGTGTAACAGAAAGATATGCAGACAGACAGTATTTGAGCATGTTGCTAGCACCGAACTTTAAAGAAAGTTCAACATTCTCTGGAATTAAGGAAACCAAAAACGCTTGTTTAAAGATATAATTCCAACCAGGCAGTTGTAAAACCGACTTTGATCCGCTGCATCGCTTACTATTATTCGTTTATCTCTTTTCACTTTGTCTTTACTACTCATGAAGCATTTCCATTAACAAGGGCGCATTCAAAACACAGCAAATGTAAATACTTTTTTGATAATTAAGTATCTATTTAATTTTCTACATTTACTTAAGAAGAAAATATTTTTTAACAAAACCTTGCAGGCATTTGCTCAATTTTTTAAATATTGGAGTTTTTCTAGACTAATATTGGTGTTTACTCTATGTCGCCTGCTGAGAAGATTGTTTGATTCATATTTATCTGTTTGAAGGGATTGAGATATAGTTTTTCTATCTTAAAGTTATAGTTTCTTCAGTTCAGCAACATATAATTATTCTATATATTTCCTTATTTACCTTTGTCACCAGTTTTAATTGGAAAAAAGAGATTGATTCCAAAATAGTTTGTCTAGCGTGAAAGATCAGAGCCAAAATAGGGTTGCAAGCAGTTTTATTTATGTAAAATCAAAATCAATCATTTTATATCAAAATACTTACAACCCAATTTTGTTTCTGATGTTTTACACATTGTAATAAGAGAAAGAAATAGAATCCATAGTTTCTTTAACTTTAGGTTCATCTAATAAGTGAAGCTTTTCGAATCGTTTTCTAGGACTTTCGGATTATACGCATTTATTAGCACACCACAATGTCTTGTAGTTTTCAGTTTTACACAGCTGACGTATATCAATTCGATATTATTTTGCGGGCTATTTTGTCGTAATTTATAGAATTTCGTAATTCCTTGTTAAAGGTACGATAAGTGGTGATTTGGCAGGTGCCGATATCGATTTAAAACTTTAAAATTCCATGGACCATGACATTCAACCCGGAAAACAATATCAATCCAATATTTTAGATTATCCATTTCCAAGGAGTTTAGAATTTTTTGGGGTCTCTTCAGTAAAAGAAGTAGAAGGCATTCATGGAATGTCTCTTCGTCCTCTTTTTAAGGTTCTAATACCTCCAATGGCCAATGTGAGAACTTTCATTCATCATTGTATAATTTTGTATTTGCTTTTTAAATGCAAGTATTTCAAATAAATCACATCTCTGCTAATGACTAGTCCCAAATGGAAACAAGAAAAAAGATACGTCCATTCTCACAGATAATTTATTGTAGACTTTGCCAATTTTGATCGTGGCAACTATATCTCACCTATTTCTTCTTAGTTTTTGTTGAAATCGTTATGTTTAGATTAATCACTTCGTTTGTTAGATTATTTAGGTATAAGTTTAAAGGAAGATTTTGTATTTTTGAAAGAATATGTATGATAAAATATTATAAATCTATAAAACAACCTATACAATTTTATCAAATACTTTACACAATAATATTAATTAAGAAACCTACATAGCTTATTATAAGGTAAAAGTGCTTCGCATTTCTTAGACAAGTACAACTTATCATAAAGAATATCTTAAACTAAAATAAAGATTATCTTACCCCATCCGCATTTTACAATATTTAAAAATTGCCTTCTTGGTGCCCAATCCTCCTGAGTATAAACAAATCTTAATATACTGATTATTTGTTGTATATTATCGGCAAAAAACAGGTAATCATAAAGTTTATGATATTCTGACGTATTTTTGAAAACTGCATTCCCATATAAATTTGTACCAGTTGTGATAATGGCATGTGGCGAATCTAGCCTTTGAATGATTATATCACTTAGTTTATCTTTACCGAGTGTTTCGCCAATTACTTTCACGAATTTGTTGCTCATATGGGTATTAATAAACTTTAAAATTAGCTCGAAATTTTCTGTTAAATAATCAAAATTTTCTACATCATAGTACAGGATGTTTTTTGTAGAATTTTCGTCAAAATATATATTTAACGTATATGAAAAGTGAATTTTAAAATAAAGAATAGCAACTATTGTGGTAACTACAACAACCTTTTGAACAAGCATTTTGTCAAAGAATGTTACTACAATATAAAAACAACAAAAAATTAGGGTAAGCAAGTGCCTCTTTGAGAAACTTTCTACTTAATTTTACTTCAGCTGAATTTTCACATAGGTATCTAATGAAAAAGTTTTACGTAATTTTAAGAAAACAGTTTTAGTTACAGAACATTTTATAAGGAATAAAAATTAATTACTTAGAAAAACATTATTTCTTAAGTGACTTTCATAACAGGCTGAAAATCTGCTTTCTTTCCCATATTAAACATTTACATCACATCATCAACAGGATTCTATGGTCAAGTTTGTTTCGATCTGTCCGCCTCCTCATTAAGTGCCTTAATCTTAAAAAAATGGGATGATCAAAATTTGCAAAGTCTGTAATGAACTATTTGTGAAAATGGATATATCCTCTTTCTTGTTTCCACTTGGGACTGTAGTCGTTTGCTGCGTTTTGAACACGCCCTTGTAAAGTTAGAAAATGCTTCATGAGTAGTACAGGCAAAGTGAAAAAAGATAAATTTCTGTTACACATCATGTCCGCTGCAATTTCTACCTGACATCTCTCTTCTATTGTACGATAAAAGTAGGCATTCTGTCAGCAACCGCTCTAGTCTAGTTAGTAAGTTGAACGAAGAAAGTAAATGCGACAGTTTTATTGCGGACTATGTCAATTTTGAACGTTCTAACTATACAGAACTTTTTGCATTATGGTTGTGAAGCTGGCACAACAAAATGGACGAAATGAATTTCGAAAATGCCGAGTCTTTAGGGGTAATTCATGGTCAAAATTTAAGGAGTCGTAAACTGCTAAAGATATTTAATATTCACATGAAACTAGCTAATTAAGTGATTCCAGCTAAAATTAGTTACAATCTGGTCAGATGTTATTCTGTATTTTGGTTAGTATAATGCTTCATTTGAAAAAGATACTGTAGGGCGAAACAATTGTCGTGGGTTTTAAACTAGCATATTTTATTTAACTGTGTATATTTGAAATAGAGAAAAGAATTTTTCTTTTTTTACTCAAGAACTGATTAAAATAAATTTTACTGAGAAACGCAAAAGTAAACTTTTTAAACTTTGTTTGCAAGAACTCATTGTTCCTTACAAGGAAACCTTATGAGATACCAGGTGAAATATGTTAATCTACACCAAAAATGATTAGGTACTGAATTTTTTGTGGAAAATCATTTTTATAGGGTGAAACTTTGACCCTCAAAATAATACTCCGTAAGGGTGATTGTCGTCAGGATTTCTAACTGATAAGTATTTTCAAAAACCAAATGGATTAAATTCGACACGAAAATCAATTAAAAAAGTGGTTGTAATCGCACATTTACAAAACGGTTCGAAGAGTTAAAAATGAAAAAAATTTAATTGCCAAAAATTTATTATGCAAGTATTTTTTAATGGGACCAATTTTAATCAAAAGTATTAAGTTATTGAATAATTATGTTTTTTTTTAATGCAAAGACATGTATTTTGAAATTTTTTACACACTATTGATTAAAACGGGTCGCATTAGAAAATAATTGCATAATAAACTTTTGCAATTAAATTTTTTCATTTTCAACCATTCGAAATTAAACTTTTTTTTAGTTTCTTAAATGTGCGAATACAAGCACTTTTTTTACCGTTGTTCTTGTAAAATTTAATCCATTATGATTTTGAAAATATCAACTAGAAATATATGAATTTTGACAATCAAGTATCAATAACTTTGGAAGTCGTCTGTCTTCACCCCTTAAAAATGGTTTTTCCGCAAAAACAAATACGGTATCTCATCATTTTTAATGTAGATTAACATATTAAACCCAAAAATTTATAGAATTACGTTCTTTAAGCATTATTTTTACAGCACTTAAGATAATGTTAGAAATTATTAATGAAAATTTATTTTTATTATTAAAGAGTATTATCTTGCCATCTGTTGACATTTCCTTAAATTATTTTCAGTTGAATTTATATTTGAATGATGTGTAGAGGCATCTAAGAGTTGGATGATGAAGTAAAGAAAATGAATATTACGCAATCGTAATTCATACCATACGAATTTAATTCAAATGATTAGATATAACAAATATTTGGGCAATATTTGTTTGTAGTTGCTATTGTTATCACTGTTAAACTATTTAATACAGTGTTTTCAATTTTTGAACATTTTTATTGAATCCTAGATTTTCATAATTTATACAAAAGGAGTTTGTGTTTTATTTTAACTGCCTTTCAAGAAACAAAGCCGTAATTTAATTTTTTTATTCGATTCGCAATAATTTTCAAACAGTAATTAAAATTTAAAATAAACAACCAATCAAAGGGCAGTTCCTCTGCTGCTAGCAGAAGTAAGAGCAGCTTTTAAGTCAATTCTTTGCGCAAGTTTCATACATTTATGCTTGCAGCACAGAATGTGCGTATTATTTAAGCATAATTAGCAGTAATTAAAAATAAAATTTAGTATTGCCTATTTTAAAAAGTTACTTATTAAAGTTAATAAATCTATTAAATTATTTGTAATAATGCAGATAATATTTAAAAGATAATTTGAATTTGAATTTGAAGAAATAAACGAAAAATTCTAATTTATTAACAATTTGCAAAAACGTTTGTAAGATAAACAAACTGGCTTATTAAATAATATAGTAAGAGACCAATAGAAATAATGATCAAGAAAACGATAGCGTTTTTGTCGAATTCCTATCGTTCTTATACGTATTTGTTGAGTTTGTGTATACCGCAAAATATTCGGCGATTATCTCATTTAGATGTTTTAAATCGAAATAATTTCAAGTTTAATTTGTTTAATACATCCACACAAATGGGGGACCAAGCAGCTGGAATACCAATAACAAATGAAGAAATATTAAAATTATGTAAAAGTCCTGACCCTGCTACTAAGGTATGTTTGACCACAAGAGATTAAAATTCACGATTTTCGGGTCGCAATAAATTTTATTTAATTAACAATGAATTCATACACTAGTTATATAATAATATCTGGTATCTTCCACTGCTAGTAGTCCACCTTTCAAATTTTGCTATTTTTTATAATTAAAGGATTTTATATTCCAACAAACTATGTACCGCATCAAAGACCCACGAAAAAGCATCCCCTTCTATACGGATGTCCTAGGAATGACTTTATTAACAAAACTAGATTTTCCAGAAATGAAATTCACTGTCTATTTTTTGGGCTTTGAAGAATCAAAGGACCTTGTAGGTAACCTTGGCTCAAAAGAACGTACAGAGTGGGCATTAAGCAGAAAAGCAACTTTAGAATTAACCCAGTAAGCACTATATTTTTTTTGCAAATTTTTGATATATAATCAGATCCTTTTTCTGAAATATTCTCTCATGTAACTTGATGCAACTTTAACAAATATTTTCAATAGTAATAATAAGTAGTAAAATAACAAGTTTTGAATATGTAGGGACAAAATAAAAAAAAATTAAAAATAAAAATTGTACGAATATTTTATTATTTCTTTATATAAATAAAAGGGCATTTAGCAAAGTCTAAATTAATACATAATTATTCAACCAGGTGAGTATTTTTTTCGATGTTATAGATTAACACTTTTACAGTTTTATTAATAGATATACAAATACAATGATTTTCAAAATATTTTTCTAGCAATTGGGGAACAGAAAATGATCCAGAACAGAAATATCATAATGGAAATTCTGATCCTCGAGGATATGGTCATATTGGTGTAATGGTACCTAATGTTGACGAAGCTTGTGCACGTTTCGAGAATTTAGGTGTCAATTTCATAAAAAGGCCCCAAGATGGCAAGATGAAAACGTTGGCCTTTATTTCTGATCCTGACGGCTATTGGATCGAAATATTCTGTAACAAAACTGTTGTATAAAACATTATAATTGCTCGAAACTTTTTTGCACCTGCTTCCCTAAAATAATGTATTTAAGTTGTATATGAAATAAAAAAAATAAAAAATAATTTACGCGTTTTACATACACTTTTCACACAATTGAAGAGAAACCTTCAGGTAACACCACTTTATCATCATGTAAGCACAAGTTTCACATAACTAAAACGCCTAACTGCAAATAAAATAGTCAAAATAATATTTTTATTATTAGCAACCGAAAAACAGAAAATGGCCCAGACCAAGCATATCGCAATGGCAATTCGGATCATCGAGGAATGGTGCTATTGGAGTAAATTAATTCTTTGGATTGCATCTATTTTTATTTGTTAAACTGCATTTACAATAATTTTTATTACTACTTACAACGTTCGCATAACGTAAAATAGGTAATATTTTATTCACATTACGTACAATAACAATAAGGTACATATTTACAGTAACAACAACAAGTTATAAGACTAGAGATATCTACTCATCATGGCTCAAAGTTAAGTCCCCACTGATATTGAAAATTACTTAATTTGCAACCAAAGTCCTATAATTTAATTTAACTTAAATAAAGAAGAAGACAACAGGTACTGCATTGGTATACAATACGTATATTCATTTAAAAGAAATTGTATGTACATATATTACACTGGCTCAATAAATCGACTAAGTATCACATGTCTAATAGTTGTAGGAAGAAGAAGTAAGATGCATGCGATAATTTAACCCCTTAGTGTTAATATTTAATTGTTCCTGAACGCAATTATTCATTTAAATAAAATGAGAAAAACTTTTAGTTATTTCAGAATTATAGCTGGCAGTAACAAAGCTATATACATAAATGTTCGATTTACAGTTTTACAATTAGGATTTTTTTGAACCAGTCTGCTATATACTGTGTTAAATTATTTCTACTTGGCCATTTATTTGTTTACATAAAATATATTATATATTTGTCAATCACAATAATACATATACATATGTAAATGGAGCATTAATTTGGTATTGTAATAAACAAAGTTAATCTCATTAGTAATCATTCAAAAGGGGCAACTATTCTCATCTAGAAACGTACTAATTGTAAGAATAAAATAAACCAATATTCCCAACCTTTTCTACACCACCTTCCCATTTAGACGGAAAAAAAGTGCAACGCCCCTTAAGCCATAAAACCTATACATATATAATTAACTTTTTCACAAGGGTTTTTTTTAATTTTGTAAAATTGAATATCACATATACTAACAATAACAGGAAATTATTAATCAGGTAACTATTAAAATTTAGTAATTATAAAAAATAAATAAGTATTTCCTAAAGAAAAATTGCATACAATTTTAGTTTTAAATTAATTAACAATAATATAACTGTTTAGTAATGATAAAAACCATTAATATCAAAGTTACGCCACAACATTTACACAGTTCTTAAACAATAAAAGGATACATTTATAATTTTTTATAGACAGTATTTTCCAGAAGAAAATTAAAGAAAATAAGATCGATAAATGCACATGTAAAGATAAATTTGTATACATAATTTAATATGGAATTTGGTTTTGATAATACTGTATCATATCATACGTCCTAGTTCTGAAGTTAAGATAACTGTTACGAATTACTGACAGCATAAATTGAGCCGCTTCTTTATCGGTAGAATTAGGAGAAAACCGTGTTTTAAGTAAACGTATAGTTTGGCCTCTAAAGCATGGTAAACCTGTGTCTAACATCAAAGACACCAATGAGATAATGGCTTCCTGGTGAGGTCTAACGAAAAATAAAATAATTAATATTATTTAAAAAATAATAGCAAATAAAAAGAACTAGCAAAGTTAGCAATGTAAATAAAAGCTAATTTTAAGTAAAAGAATCATCAACATTTTCGTAGTTATTGATAAAAATCATTGAGCGAATGTTAATTAAAATGTACAAATAACGTACCTGACTGCCAAATATGCTTGTACACAAAGTTCACAAAACCATCTGAAAGGCTGAGCATCCATTTTTCCACCCATAATCATAACCATTTCGTCTGTTAATTTGATATCTGGTTCAAAGCCTAAATTTCCACCAGGAGACGATTCAAACATAAACCCAAAGTCTACAAGAAAGGCAACGGGAAACTTTGAATTTTAATGATAATACACGCAAATGAAATTTGGGATTATAGGAGGTCTCAAGCAAAAAGGCTTCATTAATTACTTTTAACAAACACTAAAGAATACCTAAAGCACATGATAAAGATTAAATATGTAGAAGACAAAACCTTTTGATACTTTTGACATAATTATTTTTTTCAAAAGAACGAACTCTTACTTCAATTGATTAAATTGTTTATATTATCGCTAAGTACAGAAGACAATTTTGAAATATGTTTTTAATTTTATAAAGTAGGCATTTTTTCAACTTACCAATATGTATAATGTGCCCATCAATGTCTAGCATAATATTTCCGTTATGCCTGTCTTTAATTTGTAGTAAAAATCCCACGACACTGTAAGCTGCTGTGGACATAATAAAGTTTCTTCTGGCTATTTGGAATTCCTTCGTGCTTTCGTCTCCATATTTTTTAAGGAAATACTCGTACATTCCAATGTCCGTTTGTCGGCCCAATTGATCTCTGATAAACAAACTGGCTTATTAAATAATATAGTAANATTTTTATCAAATTAAATTAATCAATTATTTTAGGTAAAAAGAAACGAAATTATTCTGTAGACATCCATACCAAGTTACTGATATTTTTATTTTGCATATAACTAAATTAAATTAAAGCCTTATTTTTTGAATAACTAATAAAAGTTACTTACCTCCAACGTCGCTTGCTTTCAAGTATTTCTTATCTGTAAACATTGTTTGCCAAAATCGAAGTAATGTTGTTATATCTTCCCTTAAAATGTTTACATTTTGTGATGGGCACTCCACTGGTCTGCAGAAATAATCAAAACAAGAACAATAAATGCGTTCTCTTAAAACGTTCTTCGCCAAATTTTTTGGTAAGATATCTCCTTGCAAAAGAGAAAGGCCACACTGCAACAACCTATAAGAAAATATTCATAAAATTAGCAAATATTTTGTCAGACTAACTCATTTTTTCTAAGGAAAAGCATCAATTAACTAATAACGTCCAAAAGACATGTATTCTTAATTAGTGTAGAACATATGTACAATAATTAGTTCAGATTAACTAAGCAAAATGAGCTTACCCCCGGACCTGTAGCAACCACCCTGTAAGGAAAAAGGAACAAATCCAGACCAACAGTTTGGAAAATATTTTTAAACAGCGATATGACCTGCAGAGCTAACATATCTTGTCGTACATCGTCACCCACTTTAAAAATAGCAGATTGCCAGATTTCGGGACCCAGATTTGATATTTCTTTTGGCTAAAATATTTAAAAAAAATGTATATTAGAAAAAAAATAAATAAAATTGTAAATAAATAATTCGTACATTTCCTTTGTTTGTTGATACACTCATTGCAATACTTTCAAGTTCTGCGATACCAATTCGGACAACTTTAAAACGAGCAAGATAAGGAGCTTTAGCAGCACTTTGCATAGGGGTGCCGCTCTTATAATCAATATCCAAAACAAGAGATTCAGGATTACTGGGCAAGTAACAACCTGGTTGTACCTAAAAGGAAACAAACATACAATTATTTTCTATGTAAAATGACAAAAATAATTATGGAATAATAAAGGTCCATTCTTCTTATAAAGTTGACAAAATCAACTATTTAACAAAAAAAAATCAGCTGTACCTTAATTCTACTAAGTGCTTCCAAACAAGCCTTCTTCCTTTCAACACCTTTAGGAAACGGTTTTATTTCCCCACTGATCATAGTAATTTTGTCAAAGAAGTCAAATTCCCGTTGGTAGAAAGCCTTTGCAGGACCTGATAACGCTGACACAATACTTTGATGCAAGGAAGACAGAACATCAAATAGTGCAACTAAAATATAATACTCTATAACAACATTCGCACAAAACTATAAAACTGAAGCATATACTAAGGGTAAGGATAATTCAAAAGTACCATTTTTTTGTTGCATATCCTCGTCTACGTACATATTAGCCTTCATGTTCCATATCAGTTGATGCGCCACGATTTGTGATATTTTTGCGACATATTTCATATATTCCAATAAATATCCCATCTAAAAATTTATTTGTCTACTGAATGAATTACATTTAATTATAAAAATTATTTACCGTGTCATGCCTCAATGCTTGAACCAATTGCGGAATATAAAATAGAACAGCATCAGATGGATATGATCGGAGAGTGCGTACGCCATATTGGGCTGTTATGGGGTGTGGGGGATATTGTCTACTGAAGTACGATAACGCCTAAAATATACAAAATTGTTTAAATACAAAATAAGGACTAAACCAGTTAATTTAAGAATATTTAATGATGAAGTAATTAAACTGACCAACAAAATAATACAATTTATATAAGCTAAATGATTTGAAATAATTCAGTTTTTGATAATACATAACGTTTTGCAAAAAAGAAATTTTGAACGATATTTTTTAAAAGCCAAATAAAATTGTTGCAAACATTACACACTTATTGTGTAAAGAAATTTTAGGAAAGTACCTGAATAGGTGTAACTTTAGCCCAAGTTAACATATGAACCAACTTGGGACTGTCGTTAAGAATTGCATTTGTAGTGACCAAATATTGCAGTGCTTCAGGTACATGGGACACAGTCAAAGGATTTTGACTCACTAATCGACGAACTTCGTTTACAATAGCATCATTACTTTTTAGTCTACAATTTTCAAATATTTAATTTCAACTGAAGAAATTTACTCATACAAAAAAAAAACATTTAATTATAGTAGTGGTAATAAAAACATACCGTAAAGGTAAAAACACAGCTAAAACAGGAGATATATCCCAAGCTAATCTAACATACTCTTGCCATTGCTTATCAGTTATCGTTTTTATTCTCCAAGCTGTAATATTATCTTCACCTGGTATTTGAAATTCTATTTTTGAACTTGGATTGTGCCAAACAACTAGAAGTTCAATTTCTACTGCCTGAAAAAGAAAGAATATTGCAAGACAATATGCTCTTATTAAATATAAAGCTTACCAGCAGTTCTAAAATTAAATTCCTTTTCTTTATGTAACATTTGACAAAATTATCAGCAACAGGTACTCTTCTAGATTTAGTAGATTTTTTGCTTAATGTTGCAGAACTACTAGAAAGAGGAACAGTGTTTATCCAACCAGCTGTTTGTGGTCTGTTATATTCTCCTGGTCTTGACATTTCCGAAGTCTGCATATTTGGGATAGGAGTTGAAGGATTAAGGTCTAAATCTTAAAATTAATATATTTATCATTTTTCATTATCATAATTTTTATTAATTAAGTTTAAGTAACTCTGTTATAATCTCTTAATTTTTTTATAGCATTAGCAATTATTTCGCCGTTTTGTGGCTTCTTCAGATGTTACATAATTATTTGCAAAAATATAAAAAAAGTGTGGTAAGTAATTATAACTCTTCATTTTACCTTAAAATAAATTTTTATCAAATTAAATTAATCAATTATTTTAGGTAAAAAGAAACGAAATTATTCTGTAGACATCCATACCAAGTTACTGATATTTTTATTTTGCATATAACTAAATTAAATTAAAGCCTTATTTTTTGAATAACTAATAAAAGTTACTTACCTCCAACGTCGCTTGCTTTCAAGTATTTCTTATCTGTAAACATTGTTTGCCAAAATCGAAGTAATGTTGTTATATCTTCCCTTAAAATGTTTACATTTTGTGATGGGCACTCCACTGGTCTGCAGAAATAATCAAAACAAGAACAATAAATGCGTTCTCTTAAAACGTTCTTCGCCAAATTTTTTGGTAAGATATCTCCTTGCAAAAGAGAAAGGCCACACTGCAACAACCTATAAGAAAATATTCATAAAATTAGCAAATATTTTGTCAAAATAAATAATTTTTTTAAAAAATAAATCAAGAGAAAAACTCACTTGAATTTTACTCCAACAGCTTCCACGTTTCTAGTTTGAGACGAAGGAGAAATACCGACTCCCATTGATAAGGACTTATGTATAAGTGTTGCTAACATTTCTACTTTTTCATAACTGTTATACTTTGCAGTTTCTACGATTTCACTAATAAACTGAACCCAAATCGCATGTGGCTTCACAAACGGTGGATTTGGATCCAATTTCAGGCCTACAAGTATATAATTATTTATTCTTATAAAAAATATTTTAACCAATACTTAAAGAAATGTATTTTTTGCTCACCCTCATGAACAGCAAATGGATTTCCCTCAGGAGGACTGACTGCGAATAGTCCAAGCTTCTTTTGAATGGTACATGTCCATGCTGACACCATCTCTTGGAGGAATCTCAATTCTAAATCTGGTCTTGTGGTTATCAGCCATTGCCAACACTCCACAGCAGATCGCATTGCTTCAACGGTAAACAATTCTACCTAAACAATTTTTTAAGAATTGAATAAGTAAGTACTTAAATAAAAAAGGCATTTTTATTTTTTGAAAACTTTTACAACGGTTATTTGAAGAACTAAATCTATTGAATTCCTATAGAAAAAATACCTGTGACCAAGAAACGCCATGTAAAAGCATCCTATCTAAAGGTGTGGTATGTATAAGTAATGCAGTTGCTCTAAACAATGCGTTTCTATGAGCAGAGTCGGATCTTTTACGGCAACTTTCCCAAATATTGTTGAAAAACTCCTTACAAACAGTATCTCTGTCGGTATCACCACGAACAGCCAATATTCCCAAAACCTAGAGGGGTATATTAATAATTTAATTATTCTTATTTAATAGGTAAACAAAATTTTCAATCTGGATATTAAATTTACAAGCAAATTATCAAAAAAAAAATGCCTTAAACTTAATAGAAACTTATTATACATACAACAATATAATTCATCGTTCCTATTAATATATATAAAAAAAATCTAAATGTCACATTTACCTCTCCGTTATATTTACTTCGTAGATGAGATGCAAATGCAAACCGAGCTGCATTGCTTTTGATACAATTGGGCCGTTTTTCCAAAATGTTACCACTCAAACATACACTAGAATCATTTAAACTGATGAACCTTAAAACAGATTCTAACGCCAACGATTGTCCTGAGTGTTGCCACATCCCTGATGATGCCACTTGGTTCTGGTACTCCAGAAGATGAGAACGTGTCCATTGTGGTGCCCATTTTAACGCTTCCTCAAGTATACCTTGGGAACGGGCTACAAAATCGTTTACAATCCTCTAAAAGATGAAACATATTTAATTTTGTTATTTTAAATGAATAAATGAAAATGTAATTTAAAATAAACAGCTTACTTCTCTGGCTTCCAAAGTGTCCATAAGTTGTATGGAATAGGGAGTGGCAGGGATTCGTAGAGTGGTCGTTTCTTGATTCGGATCTAGTTGCAAAGAGTATGATAAAACTTGAATAATATCTAACATGGTCCATAAAACTCTAGAATCATGGAATACGAATTATTACAGAAAAAGAAAAAATAACTTACAAAAATTTTACCTTCTATTCCATAGTAAATGGGGGAATTTATCGACGAGGCTTGCCAAAAATTTATCAGCTACCCGTCTAATTTGTTTATGATTATGATTGAAATTGACTAACAGAAACTGAACGTGTTCTTCCAGATCGGCCTCTCTTGCTTCGTTTTTGGGTTTGTTGCTCATTACTTCTAAAAACTTTTCGAATATTTTTTCACCCACAGATGCCACACACTGCCACATTCCCGATTTATCTTTTTGAAGTGCTGAGTCACTTAAATATTCCATAATTGGATGCAAGGATGGCTCCCCCGAATGCTCAACCCTACACAAACAAATATATTACATTAAAAACCTATTATCTATTACACTTATCCTTATCCAAGTTTTTAATTTGTAAGGTAGTGACTACAATGCTGCCAAATGTTATTACATATCTCGTAAGAGGTCGTTCGTAAATTGCGTAAGGATAGTGGGGGAGAAGTTCTTACTTGAGAGCAGTTAGTTAAAGGACAACTGAAATATCTAATTGTTTGCTTATTTTATAGAAGAGGCGTGTTTTGGGACAAAATAATTTTTATTTCATGGTCAAATTTATGCTTATACCTTAAAATTTCCATCCAGTACACACTGAGAAGAAATGTGCATTGGGAAAAAGATAATTTATTTATAAAGGCTGAAACTTCCGGAGGATTATTCAACAATTCCAATATCTGATTCCTTAATTCCTGTAATTCATTATAGGACACACTATCATTTCTTACTGCACTTGTGTATTGCAATTCGCGCATTTCCGATCTACTCGACGTCTGCGAAACGAGAAGTGGGGATTTAACAGCAATTTCTGTAACACCTTCGTACCATTCTTGGGGCCACAACCCTTAAAAATTTATTATAAATATAAACCATCATTATCACTGTCTTAATTTATTTATCACAAATGATTATACTTGGCATTTTCTTAATTGTCTAAAATTATAAAATGAAATTGCTAGCAATCATTCGTACCTGAATTTGATGCTGTAAACCCCATAACAACACAATAGAGCCAGAAATCTCTGAAAAGTTTATGTAGTCGAGGCTTAGGATTTCGAATTGGAGGGAGTCTTTTTAAAAGAACAGCAATTACAGGGATAAGGACACCCAAATTCCCTGCAGAACTAGATGCTTTAACACCTTAAAGGAAAATAGCAATTAAAGAAAACTGTCACCCAGAATAAGAATTTATGTTTAGAAATGAATATTATATAAAATTCTACCTGGAGATTTTTCACTAGCTCTTTTCCCTTCAAGTCCCAATTGAACAAACAATTCTAAAAGTCGAACCAATAATTCATTTGTATGCACTTCGCCTCTTATATTTGCAGCAATATTTGCCAAAGCGTTTATCACAGCTTTCGAAACATGTCTGAATAAAAATTTATATTGTAAATAAATATAAAGGTGTGCCATCTACTGATATTTACTTCAAACTGTAGTATTTTAAAATGTTTGACAAGGGCCTTACCAAGGTACCTATCTACTTGACAAACTGAATCTACGTCAAAAAAGGAAATTGAAAACCTAATGTGCTTTGTAAATTAATGATAAAGATAAAGACTAAATTAGTAAATAATGTCATAGTGAAATTAACTAATCAAAAAATTATGTTTTACTATACGCGTTGGTTCCAACAAACAATCATTTTCGAATTTTAAGAGTGTACAAGAAACACACTTACATATATTTTTTCTTCTCATCTGAATCACTTCCATATGTAGCACTACTACTTTCGACAGTTATCATTGTAAACATTTTCATAACAACCTCGTACACTTGCGGCTCGCATTCCGCTATCACCATACATCCCAACTGATCCACTATCAAGGTGTCCAAGGCAGATGGTACTCTACAGAACCTCTGTTGAAAAAATTGTAAAATAGTTTCAGTTGTTTTAGGAACACCCTTCATTGAAACAGCAACGTGGCCCAACATAATGACGATGTTTGTGGATATCAACGAAGATTCACTAAATCAAAAAAGGATTTTTTATTATTTTATATATGCAGAGAGCCTACTTTATCGGAAAAGGAAACGTAGAAACAAAATAAACATTGAAAGTATACCCGTCACTTTTTTCTGCAGTAAACAGCCTGTTGGAAACACTAGCCACCAAAGCCCTAACACAGTCAGGGTCCACTGCATGGGCTGCTTCCAAAGCATAACACAAATTCTCTACTGCAGCATCCCTCAGCTTTTCAAATGCAACTTTTGTTGGAGAAACATATTTCTGATTATCAGGTGAAACAGTTTCACCTTGAACTAGAAATTCAAAATATTACAATTGCTAAAAAATTAAATATTACAATGATTTTATACATTAATATCATTTCAATTACTAAATTAGCATACTGTATTTTATGTACTGAACTTGTACGATCTACAATAAGGCAAATTTTTCTCTCCAACTCTTAATGTGATTGATTAAATACAGCACACTTATCCTTCCTTAAGTTCTCATTCGCGAAATTACTCCCATACATACCAAACAATAAGAGATTACACGTCAAAATATATAAAATGGCGTTCCTATTTTTCTATACACTTACCTGAAATTTTAATATTTTCACTAGCTTTATCAGTTGACTGTCTATGAAGTTTAGAAAGAATAGGTGATGGTGTGATAAGAAAGTCACGTAGGCAATAGATAGATGTTGAGGAAATATTAGGAAATTTCTGTGCTAGTTTTCCCAAGCCTTCCAAACAAACCATTAACAACGGCATATGGGCCAAAATTAACTTGTGACCATGGTTTGAATTAATTTTCTCAGTCAGCCTGCAACACAGACTGTCAGCACCTAGAAAATAAATTTGTTTGAAATCTTTTCTCCTTTTATAAGTAATTATATTATTTTTAAATATCTTATCTTTTTTAATAGTCGGTATTTATTATATATTAACGTTAATATTAGTAAACAATAAGGGTTTGCAGCATACCAAAAAAACAAAAAGAAAACACATTCTTAATATTCTTTTAATGTGTTGTATCTTTAACACTTTTTTGCTTATGAATGATATACAGACATTTGCGGATGGTATTCTTAAAAGAGGGGGGTATTACTGAGAAGATATTTAAAGAAGGGGTGATTACTGATCAACAAAATAAATAAATAATTATATGAATATGATTCTGAAACTTTGCTACGTTCTTTTTTCACATTTAAAATAATTATATATAATTAAAAAACGAACAATAATATAGGAACATATACTTAAAAAGAGATGAAAAAATAAAATAAAAAATGTAAGATCTGATGAACACACTAATAGCTATTGCTATAATAATTCACAAACAAAAACTGCAACCAAATTCACCTAATAATTTGTAATGCAAAGTTTGTATCAAAGAAGCAACTGAATAATCTTCGTCCACTGCAAAAATAAAAGCATTTTTGCAATTAAATGTGCTTAAAAACAAATTATAAATTTTAAACATTTAAAATGAAAATTGGTCAACAATTTGTCCCACAGTAATAATTATATATAACTAAAATACGTTAAAACATTAATTAATTAAAAAAATGTATTACCTGTTTCATCACCAATTGCCCAAACAAGTAAATCAACACATGCAGCATTAGCTTTTACATTCAGTTTAAACCTATTCACTAGAGAATAATTACTTTCTCTGTCTTCTTTCTCACTAGCATCGTGGTGACGACTTTGCAACTCCGTTTGACCATTTAAAAATAATCCTACAGAAAATTTTAAGTTTTAAACATCGGTATATCAATATTCCCTTTTTATTAAAAACCATACAAATATACTAAATAAATTATTTTAAGATGTAGAAAAAGCATGAATTTGAATGAGTAAGTTTTCTCTTCAACTTAATTTTTATTTTTATATGAAGGATATATGGGTACCTTTTACAAATTCCTGCACATCCTTTGTGAAAGGAATAGGTAAATTCTTCTGGGATTGTAACAATTCCCTTAAAAGCGTCACCATTACCAAATTAATTGTTTCTGAAAATGTTTTATATGGAAATATTTTAACCAATCCCGTCGAATAAATTTCATGAGACTGCTCATCTAAAAAACCCAATGTTTCCTTTGTAAGTAACCTTTTCGCTAATGATAAAATATTTTGCAAGTGAGCCAAGGGGAACAAAATTTTAGGTTTCTTGTCATTATCAGATATTCGTAATTCAGAAAACTGATTAAAACTGGAACCAAATTTTGCAAAGAAATATGTTGTTATGTCATAGTCCAAATTTGAAGAAGGCAATTTTAAAGATGTATTTGCATTATTACACAGGGCATCTGTCACATCATACCCCTAAAAATTATACATTTATGATATGATTTGCTCTTTTTTTAACTAATTTATAGACAAACAGTTATTTACCTGTGTTATAGCTAAAATGTCTACAGTTGCTTGTAAATTTCCAGACAAACTACGTGGTATAATTGGTCTAAAACTGCTGAAACTTCTGCATGCACTGTTTTTTTCAGGTGCTTTTTGGAGAATAGGTGGTTTAGGTTTTGGGAATATCCTACAGAGCAGGGGAAGATCACTGGTACAAAACCTCCCCATTGCCCTGCATAAACCAATCAAAACTGGAACTGTTCCTTTGCAAAGGTACAACTTTGGGGCACTTGAATTTATTCCTCGTTCTTGTTGACATCTGATAATGTGTACTAGAGATGTTAAGCATTCCACTTGAGTAGACAAAATTTCTTCTTGCAAATGAGTGCATCTTGATGCTATGTCTGTTAAAAGTGTGTGAAGACAAAAACTGAACTTCTCTGCTACAGGAATTCCTGTAAATAAAATAATAACATTAATTATTATTTAGGTGTGTAAGTATTTTAGCTTCTTGTTTATGCTCAAAAGGGACTATTCAGAGTAACCTGTCAAGAGGAAGTGAGCAAAAAAGTGCACAAATTACAATAAGGTGCTATTCATAGTGTAGACACAAATTTCTCTTTTACATTCCATTCACACAACAAAAATTTTTTCACAGACTGCTTTATAATACCTATAATATAAAAGCTTACATGACGTCTCTAAAAGTACCAGTTGTTTTAATTTAAGTCTTCAATACATAGTCTTTATACCTAAAAGCAGCTATATCTCTACCATCCTATAAAAATTGAATTAAGTGCATATAATCAGTTTAAAGCATTTAAATCCATCACAAGATAGTACTTATCCACTTACAGACCACTCCAAATAATGATCTTAGCAGATTTTTCTCATAAAACTGGTGTGAAGATAAAACTAGTGAAATTAGCTATCTAAGGATATCTCATATATATTTTTAGAGTAAAGCAATGCAAAGTATTGAAAAAGCTTCTTACTATGAGTTGAGTGATAACGGACTTCATCTATCCAAACTGCTTTGGAAAGACCCCTTGCTAATTTTAATAAATAGGGCAGTATTTCATTTTCATGTTGAAAATTAGACTCCAAGAAGTAAATTCCCAAAGCAATAACAGCATCCTGGGCTCTACTATCTAATCTAAATACCCCATTCGAGGATTCTGTAGGGCACCTAGAAAATACTGGTTGAACCTAAAACAAAATTAAATAAGTTTTAGTACACTAAATACCAAGATCACAATAACAAAAAGGTATGCAATTAATAAATTTTATATATAGTACATACAAAACACAATGGCACTAACAGTGAAATTGTTTATTTAGCGAAAACATTCTGAATATTTTGTATAACACATTATTCTAATTTATAATTTATAACTTACTTTTTCCCAGGGTATATTTTTGATTGGTGCTAAGCATCTTGCAAAATGTTGAACTGCCTTATGAAAAAATAATCTATAATCGCTCATTATTACGTTTTCTTTTTAAATATCAATTAAATATAACCTACAATTTTGACAATTGTAACATACACATATGTATATAAACTAGAAGATTCAAGGTGGCTCGATCAAATAAAAAATAAATATTGCACATATGTATGCGATAATCAGCTGCTAAACACCTGCTGCTTGGAATGCATTAATAAAGCTTGAAACATGCATGCCAATTAATAAACGCATGTCAATTAATAAATGCATGCCATATTAAAGCAGGAATGTAGCCAGACTGTGTTATCAAAACAGTCAGAACATGCTCAAAAAAATCGGCACGCTCCAAGTTGAATTTTTCCTCATTTAACTACATATTACATATATCTACCTACTGGTATAACATAAAATACTAACTAGTGTTAATTCTTGACCCTGTTTGCGCTAATAAATTCGTTCAAATACTCAAAAATCTTGAGTAGTTAACTATACTTATTAAAAAATTTTATTAAAAATTTTGGTGAAGGCGCCGGAACAATTTAAAACTAAAGCTATAATTGAGTTATAAATCTGGTTTTAATGATGTAGATTGTTGAATTTTCATCATTAGTTTATATTTTTTTCATGCAGATGTTATTAGGGGTGTTAATTTATATATTTTTTAACATTAAACGCAATTTGTAACATAATATATAGACAACCCAACATACAGCAAATATTACAATTTTAATAGCATCAGGCTCGTGTTTTGTCGGCGTGTGCTGATGGGAACCAAATATTTGGAAGCCCGCNAAAAAAGTATTTAGTTACTAATTACAAGTATTTAGTTAATTTTTATTATGAGCTATCGTCTTACTGCCGAAATATAGACAATCATGGGGATATAGAAACGTCATCAGCAATTATAAAAATGTTTATTGAAAATTTTGGTGAAGGCGTCGGGACAATTTAGAACAAATGGTATAATTAAGCTATAATTTGAGTTTCATTGAAGTTTTAAATTTTTATTTTAAAATTATATTTATTCTATGTAGATGCAGCTAGGGATAATAATTTATTTATTTCTTATATTTTATATACTAACTGTAAGTCATACTTTCTAATGTAATACATAGACAACCCAACATACAGCAATTATTACGACTACAGTAATGTAACTCCAAAGAAAGTTAGAAAATGTTTTTTCTTAAGAAAATAACTTTTTAAAGTGAAATTCTATATTATCCTCGACAAATAAAATATTACGAACCTACAAATAATTAATTGATTAGTAATACTTTTAATTACATCTTTTATTTGGTTGAAAACCGTAACACATTTTTTAACATTAAATAAATTAATCTTCTTTAAAATGAACTGTATTAGACTAACTTTTTGTGTACATTTTGCTAGCAACAATAATACAAGTGTGCAAATTTAATGAGTCGCATCGATGTTGAAGTCGTTAATAATTAATTAGCAAATTACAATATGTATATGTAATAATGAGTATTATTTTGATTATTTTAATGAGTGTAATTTAAAAAGTGACATTTTTAGAAACGGAATAAAATAGGCATTAAAGTTATTTTGCAAGTGAGCCAAGGGGAACAAAATTTTAGGTTTCTTGTCATTATCAGAATAAATATAAACCATCATTATCACTGTCTTAATTTATTTATCACAAATGATTATACTTGGCATTTTCTTAATTGTCTAAAATTATAAAATGAAATTGCTAGCAATCATTCGTACCTGAATTTGATGCTGTAAACCCCATAACAACACAATAGAGCCAGAAATCTCTGAAAAGTTTATGTAGTCGAGGCTTAGGATTTCGAATTGGAGGGAGTCTTTTTAAAAGAACAGCAATTACAGGGATAAGGACACCCAAATTCCCTGCAGAACTAGATGCTTTAACACCTTAAAGGAAAATAGCAATTAAAGAAAACTGTCACCCAGAATAAGAATTTATGTTTAGAAATGAATATTATATAAAATTCTACCTGGAGATTTTTCACTAGCTCTTTTCCCTTCAAGTCCCAATTGAACAAACAATTCTAAAAGTCGAACCAATAATTCATTTGTATGCACTTCGCCTCTTATATTTGCAGCAATATTTGCCAAAGCGTTTATCACAGCTTTCGAAACATGTCTGAATAAAAATTTATATTGTAAATAAATATAAAGGTGTGCCATCTACTGATATTTACTTCAAACTGTAGTATTTTAAAATGTTTGACAAGGGCCTTACCAAGGTACCTATCTACTTGACAAACTGAATCTACGTCAAAAAAGGAAATTGAAAACCTAATGTGCTTTGTAAATTAATGATAAAGATAAAGACTAAATTAGTAAATAATGTCATAGTGAAATTAACTAATCAAAAAATTATGTTTTACTATACGCGTTGGTTCCAACAAACAATCATTTTCGAATTTTAAGAGTGTACAAGAAACACACTTACATATATTTTTTCTTCTCATCTGAATCACTTCCATATGTAGCACTACTACTTTCGACAGTTATCANTTCTATATTATCCTCGACAAATAAAATATTACGAACCTACAAATAATTAATTGATTAGTAATACTTTTAATTACATCTTTTATTTGGTTGAAAACCGTAACACATTTTTTAACATTAAATAAATTAATCTTCTTTAAAATGAACTGTATTAGACTAACTTTTTGTGTACATTTTGCTAGCAACAATAATACAAGTGTGCAAATTTAATGAGTCGCATCGATGTTGAAGTCGTTAATAATTAATTAGCAAATTACAATATGTATATGTAATAATGAGTATTATTTTGATTATTTTAATGAGTGTAATTTAAAAAGTGACATTTTTAGAAACGGAATAAAATAGGCATTAAAGTTATGCATTAAAATATTCAAATTTTAAATTTTTTTGTGTCTAGGGTATTTCAACTTTGGTTTTGGTACTATGAAAAAACCACCGCTGAATGAACCAATCATGAGCCAATCCCGTGCTTTCGTGTTTAGTTTGTGGTTCGTCTGGTAGTCGATTATTATTAGTAGCTAATTTTTGTATTTATTTATTGTTTAATAATGGGTGATTAGTGTTTGTTATTGTTATAATTTAATTGTTGTTGTTTTAATAATTTTACTTATACCAAATTTTGGTTTTTATAAAATAATTATTAATGAATAATTAAACATGCAAGCTTTCTTATATTTACGTGAGATGATAATTGACTTCAGTCGTGTATTATGTGATGTTCATTAGAAACAAACAATTATTGTGATTTAGTAGTTAGTATTAGTATATTTTAAACGTTTTAATATAAAGATCGGGATCCATAAAACAAATAATGGTTAGAGGTAAGACCTGTGGGTAAGACAAACGTAATTCTACATCTAAAGTATAATTTGGAATACTAAGTTACAGATTCTCTAATATTAACTTTAAATATCGTTTTTAGGTAGACGTGTTAAGGCCATAGAATCATGCAGAAAACCCAGGGAATGTTGCTCTCCAAAAAGAAAGGATCAACGTCTTGATGATAAAGTTATAATAAACAATAGAGGGAATATCACTAATTTTTTTAAGGTGGGCATATACCATTAAATTAAACTACCTATACACTTACTGTACAAATATTTTAGACAACTGATAGTATTAATGAAATTGATTGTGAGATTAATGATAAAGAAATTCAACCACAAAGAAAGCATATGACTCTTAGAAAAAATCACCAGTTCCAAGTTCAAGTTGATTTGTTGACTAAAGTGACAAGTGAAATTTTAAATGGTCAAGGTAACATTAGTTGAACTAATAAATTTTTATTTTTCTCACATGCACAATTTGAATCTAAATTAAATTAATAAACATCATAGTCTTCTTTATAAGTACTTATATAAATTTATGTATCAGCATCACTTTCTTTTGCTTCATTGAGAGCTTCATTTTCTTTTCTTAAAGCTAACGCAAAGTCAAAATCATCATCTAAATCAGATGTATTTTCAGTGCTTTCAACAACTAATCTGAAATGACAGTTAATAATATTAATTATTTTATTTTTGATGAGATGTTCTATGTGATTACCCCTGCAAAATATTAAACTGGAAATTGTACTAGGTAGTTTATGACTAAAAAACATTTTTAATTTTTATAGGTAGTTCCATTTTTAGCTGTAAATGTTGCATGAGATATGCTGCAGGTACATTAAATGGGGATAAAATAGGACAACAAAAATTACAAAAAAATATATATTTATTTAGGTATATTTTTGATATAAAAAAGTGCTTAGTTTCACCAACCAATTTTCTTCGAATTATCTTATAACATCATTAATATATGCATTTTCCAAATCAGTTCAATTGAAAATGAGAATCGAATTTTTTTTGAGTTTGGTGTCCAATTTTATTCCCATTTTTTTAATTATAGTAATTGTTTAACATAAATTTATAGGAAATTATTTTTGATGAAATTTTAGGTACAATAGTTGAGTATAAATCATCATTATACAGTCGTTAGTCCTAAGACTGGTTGGACACATATCTCTACTCCTTACTATCCTGAGCCAATCTTCGCTTTTCCCTAAAACTAGATCATTCGACATCCCTAACGTTTGTGTGTGAAGAATAGTCTAATATACATCTACAACTGCCCCTCTTATTTCCTGTTTCGGCTTCTAATATGTCTCTAACTAGTTCAGTATAAATGAAACAGCAGTTCATATATGTGCCCCTAATGAATTGTTTTGTTTCACTTACTGATTTTGAGTGGTAATTTCAGGAACATTTCTTGGGTGCCCTGAAACGTTTGGAATTTCTGATAAATGAGCGTCTGTAGCCAGTTTTGTTGGACTTTGAATCACCATATCACTTGTCTTCATGACTTCTTCAAAAACATTTATTATAGAGTCGCTTCCTACCTTTTTGTCCATTGCTTCTTGCAATTGTGTACTATTTTTTGTGACATTTTGTAAAAGTGCTGAAGACGATGCTGTAAGGTGATTGTACATTTCTTCTGCGTCTTTTATTGTTTTATCATATTCTTCTTTTGTTGCAATTCTCTGGCACAAGTTTTTTGATAACTTAAATGCGATATTATGTAAAATTATTAGTAATTTGTAAATCAAAATAGTAATTACTAATCCCAGCTTGTAAGTGATTCGTTCTATTTCAGCTTCGAGGCAATTTTTTTCCTTTAATTGCTTTTCTATTAGCAGTGACAGTTCGCTCCTTTGTAATTTTAATTCTTCAATGCACTTAACTATCAGGTCAATATTTACCTTCAAATCTTGACAATTGCTCATTTCATTTTGCAGTAGTTATATTCCTAATTTGCTTTCTTCCCTAAAAAATAATCATTTATGATTCACAAACATTACAAATGCTATTAAAATTTTGACACTGTTGACGTCTTGTAACAGCTTTACAATATGTTGACATTTGTTTAATTGCAATAATTTTACAGATGTGAAACTCAAAAAGACTGAAAAGGAAATACTCCTTTCCAAAAAGCCTGCAACTCCTCATAGAATTGTCGCTTGTACTGATTTGGAAAACCAGGGTTTCCCAAAAGATAAAAAGCTATCTAAGAAAAGGTATTTTCTAATATAAAGAAATGGAGTTGATTATAGTTTAGCTTATTTTAGACTTAACGATCGATTTGTTAATAATTCTGAAATTATGAAGCATCCAATTATAAGTATCAATCCGAAAGATGATCAAAATCACAAACTAACAGACTTTTTCCCCGTTCGGCGATCAGTAAGGAAAACCAAAAAGACTGTTCTGGAGGAAAAACAAAGAGACCTGGAGAACATTCTCAGGAAAAATATTGAGGAGGGACTCAAGGTACTTTTATCTACAATTTATTAGTTTGTTTTATTTATTCTAAAAATATATATTTACATTATTTTCAAGGTTCACATATTTGAAGAGAAAGGCAGAGGTGTGGTTACAACGAAACCCTTTAAACGTGGAGACTTTGTCGTTGAGTATAGCGGAGAACTCATTGATATGAGTGAGGCCAAACGTAGGGAAGAGGAGTATGCTGAAGACCAAAATACAGGTTGCTACATGTATTATTTTTGCCATAAAAATAAGCAATTTTGGTAAGTAATATGTTGTACATTTTAGTTTATAGAATTAATTACGGCACATTTAGTTGAGGTAATCTTGTAAATAAAAAAATGCCATTTTGATGTGTAACGTCTAACCTTTTTAATTGATTAACACGTATTAAAAGGAATTGATCTTAAATTTTGAAAGTATGCGATATAAACTTAATTATAGATATTGTTTGCTAATGCTTTCTATATCCAAAAAGTATGCAGAAATTAAATTATAGCTGTATTTTTCTTTCTCGGTCTCTAAACGCCATTCGGCATTGATTAAATAGTATCACTTCCACCTCTCTAACTTCCGCTTACGCGTTTCTGTCTCGTTCTCGGCATTACTCTTACAATCTCACATATGTACGCCTATACGCATGCGATAAGATGTTACACTGTTATATAATAATAATAATTAAGAAATTTCTAAATATTTGTTATGAATTTGTGAACTGAACTGTTATTTTTTATTAAAACAATCTTATACATATTTAGTGTGGATGCAACGGCAGAAACAGGTCGATTGGGTCGTTTGGTGAATCACTCTAGAAACGGAAATCTCATTACACGTACGGTTTCAGTAGATGGCGTACCTCGATTAATATTAGTAGCTAAAGAGGACATTTCAACCGGCGAAGAACTAACGTACGATTACGGAGATCGATCTAAGGAATCCCTCAAGTACCACCCCTGGTTGGCTTATTGATGCAAAATTGAACTTCACGTAGATTCTTTTTTGTACAAACACATTCTTTCACATAGTGTTTAATTTTGACAACATCAAATCTCTCTAATAATTCTTGAAGGTGGCATTTAAAGTAAAAGAAGTAAACGTTTCGTATGAAGTACTGGTGTTGTTTTCAAGTTTAAAAAGAACACTGATTGAATACTGAAATTAGTCTGCACTGATTTAGTTGTCGTTTATATTTTAATAACGTCAATTTTGACTGATCGTGAGTGAGTTGAATTCTCATTATACCTGCTAGTTAGTACGATGCAAAACTTTAGTACAATTTGTATATTTACTTATCACCAATTAATGACAGTGCTATACAATTTTTTGTAGTTTTAGTTTCGATGAAAACAAAGAATGGGTCGGTTGTTGAAAGTTTACGTTATTGTTTGACAAAAAAATTAAAAAATAGCATAATATTCCATTAAACTCTTATGTATAAAACTTCTTTTGTATATAGGAATCTAAACTGAGTTAAACTACTTTTGTTGCTTGCTGTTGATCTAAAAATAAAAAAGTAGGTTACATTGTGTCTCAAATTGGGACTTTCATCAAAACTATTTAAAATATTAGAAATTATTCAGTGTTCAGAATATGGTTTTTGCTTGAAGTGGGTACTTTTTAAAATGAATTTATATAAGAGAATACCGAGACCCATCTATGGAATGACTTGAAGATTAATAAGTATATTAGCTAGTTTAAAATCTCACTAGGTCATGAGCCCTCACATGTATGACAAACAGACTTTATTGTATTCATATTGCACATTGCGAAAACAATGACTCGGCTGTTAACCGTGTGGCTCACTAATTAACTATAGATAAAGCTGCAGATAAACTGTAAACAGCGACGATCAATGTTGTTAAGAAGCAAAAATGTAGGAATCAAAAGGGGGCGGGGTTTTGTCATTGCAGAACCCAAGGTCCAGAACCATGAGATTCAAGTCACCGCCCTGTAGTAGATTGAACTTTAAACTGATAATTATGCACTTAATTCAATTAAGTTCAATAAGAACTTTTGTACTGACGACTTTTCTAATCCAAAAAATTACGATGTTACAACCATTGATGGTTTTACAAATAGATAGAGGACCATGTGAATTTTTAAGAAACGTAAAATAACCTACGGGAAGACTCTTAGTTGTGGCTTGAATGGGATGTAAAACCTTTTTACAGTGGCATCTCATGTGCTTCACTTGAAGTATTTGCAGGACAATTATATACTCATTTCCGCAGTCCATCATTATTGGGTTTTTATCCACCCACTTCCTCTTTACAGATCAATCTCGGTAGTCTACTTTGGGGGTACATAAAATATAAAATTTAATTTCACTTTTCAAATAACTGAAGGATAGTGTTTTTAATTGTATATAAATTCATTAGAAAAGTGAATAATTTTTTCCCAACATGTTGATTTTATTGTATAATAGATATTGCCTATAGAAATATGTAATAATGTAATTAATTTTACTTAAATTTGTACTTTTTAGCTGTTTCTAAATTATCACTTTCAAGAGACAGGGTGGTTATTTAATCACATCATTAATTAAAATTCTAATTAAATACTTAAATGCTTTTATTAATCACAAAAAGAGTTTATTTTTATTGGAATTCAGTTACAATATTAAAAAAAATAGGCTTACGATTTTGTTAATGAATTTTTTGTTTTATATTATTTTCAAAGATAATTAAGCTGGAAAAATAATTGACCACCCCGTACAAGTTTGTCTTGGTTTTTCTGCACTATTTAAGATAGATTCACGTTTATTGCCCTAAATAACCAGACGTTATTGTAAATAACACGTTTTTGCAATAATTTAAGCAAATGGTATGGTTTGTTTATACCAATAAAAATAATAGACTTTCCAAGTTAGTGTTCCTAAAACTTTATTTACAGTAAGGGGAATGTTGTATGTAGTGTGGATATTTTTACAGTTTTTTATGACTTAAGTGTAGTATTAATATTTATTATCAAGGCTTGACAAAAAATGCAAAATTAGTATACTTAATTTTTTTGTAGTGACAGTTTTCAGTATTAGTGGTAAAATAAATTCGTGGAATTTTTTTCTTGTTTTATTTTTTCTTATAGTCAACTGTGAATGTTTTTGATGCCTAGTAGAAAATATTCAGAAACAGTTACAAGAAGCATCAGCACTCATTGTCAAAATCAATAAAAAGGAAAAAGTAAAAAGGTACTTTAAAATAAATGAACTAATCAAAGCTGTAATGAAATTTTTTTATTAATTCAATGAAGACAAAAGCAAGAGGTATTTCAAAATATTTTATACAGTAGGTAACACATCTAAAAATAACTAACAATATTACAAATACATCATGTAAAACGCAATAAAATAAAAGTTAAATATTTCTTTCTTCAGGTTTTTTATAAGGATAATTAATTGCTTCAAAAATATCTTTCTCGGAATGAATCTCAACAGGTTCACCAGGAGTGCCTAAGAAAAAAAAAATGACTAGCATTAATTATTTATTATTTGTATCAGAAAAGAACCGCTTCTATCATAACAGAAAAATATGGTATTTTCAGCATTTAAATTGAAGATGTTTCATTGAAGTTTAAAAATTTCATTAAATGTTACCTGTGCTTCCCAGGGGCTTTAATGCATATTCGTTTAAAAGAAATCCTTCTTCATGGGCATGAGCTCTCATTTCTTGATTAAACAAATTGGAACCTGTAAAGTATAATATCCCACAATAATATTGATCACAAGGCATAAATCTGATATCAATTCGTCTTGTAGGTGTATCTTCTTTTAATTTACATGCCCCCTTTAAATATATCATTAGTTATTTCTTTTCCACTTTATTTTTATTTTTACCATAAATTTTGATTCTCCCAAAGATATTGTTTCTGTTATGAGTCCATATTTTTTAAGACATTCCACAATATTTTCCAAATATGTATTCTTTTTGTGATGCTCATGGTCAGAACTTGAGTATTTTGGATGGGTAACTAAAATATCTATATCGCTGATTTCCAATTTCCCTCTCCTTAAAATAAACTAATTATAAAATTTTGCCACCAACACTACTATAAATATTTATTGGAGACAAAAATAAATTATGTATAAAAAATAACATTCTAGAAACCTATAACTTCCACAAATAGTAATTTTGTAGTCTCCATCCAGTTTATGAACTTCTTCTTTGATGATTTTCTCCATTTCTTCTATTTCTTTTCTTGGTATTTTTTTCTCAAAATCTTCAAAATATCTGAAGAAAACAAGTGTAAAATACAGAATACTGTTTACATATGGTAAAAACTTCCCCATGATAAGCTGAATTTCATGTTTTCAAGTTACTCTACATACAAAAAGGGGAATATCCTAAAAAACTACATAACTATTATTAAATGAGACTTAAAAACCGATTTTAGGACGCTTAAAAATATAATCAAACTAACTTACAGAACATCAAGAAACAACAGCATCATTTTTTGAAAAATCTGTTTTTATACTTAATTACTTAGTACAATTATAAACCTATTTTTATAATGTGATAGAATGGCAGGACACCTGAAAGATGAAGGGCTAGTTAGAGACATGCTAAAAATAGAAACATGAGTAAAGAAGGGCACAGGAAATAGTTAGGGATGGGATGTTTTAGTTTTGGGAAAATGTATGAATTGGCTTATGATAGGAACAAATCGAGGTGCGTGTCCAACCAGTCTTTGGGACTGACGACGGCGCTTTATACATTTAGGAAAATTAAAATTGGCAAGAATATGACTTAATATTTTGTTGAACTGCATGGCTTAATTTTAACTATAAAATATTCTTTTATGTTTTAATAATTAAAAATTATATTTGTTAAAACTAAAAAAGGTATAATTAAAATTGAAAATTACTTAAGCCCAATTAATTGATGATGATTTAATTTGTCTTTATGTTTTTTTAATTGCTCAATTGTTTTTATTCCATGATCGACTAGTTGTCTAGCTTTAGCAGGACCAATACCTGAGACTCTAGTAAGTAAAGTGATTGCATTGCTAGCATCATCTGAATGAATCTAAACACGATAAAAAAATAAATTAATGACATTGAGATCAGTGTTTATGTTATATTTGTTTACGAATATTGCCTTACCTCTTCCAATTTCCTTAACTTGCCAGTACTTAGTATTTCATCAATCTTTTTTGCGATCTTTTCTCCGACTCCCTTTAAATGTTTCGCTTCTTCACCTGATTGAAGTTTTTTAGGGTGAGTGGCTATAACCATTGCTGCTTTTCTGTACGCATTGTATTTGTAAATATTACGTGAAACATTTTTTTCGTATTCAGCAAGTTCTAAACAGTAACAATAAATAAATAAATCAGCAGATGTTAAATTCAAAATGTTTATATTTTTACCAGATAATATTTCACAAATTTCGTGGTTGGGATTTTCTTTGCCTGAAGGATTTTTACGTTTACTCATGATGTTTGTTTTTAATCTCTTTTAATTTCAAGTATGTATTTTAAAACCCTCCAGATAAATTACCTTTGCGTCTCATTTGAATAAACTGTTTGTTTATAACCCTTATAACCTATAACCAGTATGTATATCTATCATCTATGACATTTTAATCATAGATGAACTATAGCTGTACTATAGATATTAATAATAGATAATATTAACTATCTATTAACAGCCATTATATAAACCATAGATATAAACCAACTATAGGCAACTTACACTCCCAAAGTGTATAATGGTTTACATAAATATTATTAGGGGTAATTAAAGTTAATTGATTAATCATTTTCAATTTTATTGTTAATTTACTTTTGTAATTTGTTTACTGCTTTAAAAGAACAGTAATATAATATACGATATAGTCTACCTGATTTTTAAAAGTAATTTTTTTGTATTCATACAAAAAGTTTTGCATTTAGGTACATTGGTTATATTAGAGTTGGAATTAAAAAAGTTGTTGGTACTGCATGTTTATTTTTATTAAAAGTGAAAGTTAGGGACGCTGTTAAATTGTGTAATAATGTGTATCTTCAATTGAAAATGACTATTTTGTGTAAGTGTTTCTCATCGCCTCAGAAGCCATTATTACCGTTAAAATAAGGAAATGAAAGGCCCCATTGGAGAGGTAAGAACTCTTATACACACTTATTCCCTTTTCGCATATAGCTGGATGTTTCGTCTAGTTTTAATCAGAAACTTACTGAATCATAATTCTATGCGGAAGTATGAAAATCTTAAGATAGGCACTCGCTTATTAGGCACCACCCATTTAATTTGAAATATTTAATTGCATTTGTGATTTCTCCCAAACAAAAAGTTCGAATTAAAGTGTTATAATTATTTGAGGCATATTGGGTCCCGTAATTGACTCGAGTTGCTCTACTATGGGCGCCATTTTTTAATATTTTTACCAATTTAATGTCCAGTTTTTTCAATTATATAAGCCTGAAATCGTATATTTTAGTAATATAAAATATGTAGCAAAACATGCGCTCCGATTCCATTTTTTACCGAAGTTTGATGAAGTGGCTAGGCTTTTAATTAAAAACTATTTTTATTATGGATTCGTCAAAAAAGCTATTAAAGAATTAACAAATCTAAATGCACTCCCCAAAAGCTAGTGAATTCAGTCTTATCTAAAATTATTGCATAACTATTTTGATAAGATTTTCGTGAAGCATTAAATAACTGCCTTAACTATATTGAATTAATTAATCGTTTTCCTATCAGGATGTTACGTTGTGATCTGAAAAATCCTAGAGTATTACTTGAGAGTAACTATAATATAATTTTTTATTTTTCTCTGTAATCATAAGGTTAGGAAGGGAATTTAATTCTCAACCCAAATTAAAATTCTGTGTATTTCTTCATAATATTATATTTGTCCTTGTTAGAAATGTGTTGGATTTATTACAATATAGAATATAAAGGGAATGGTCTGTTTATGATTATATACGACGGTTGCTCCCTCTGCACCGCCCCTGACCTATTTACAACAAGAAATTTACAAATATTTTACATTTATTGTTCAGGATAGTGTCCTTAAAGTCAACACTTTTTTTACCATCGATGTTCTAATATTTCTAATGCCTGTCGGGAGAAAAATCTTCAGTCTTTGTAAACCACCAATTTATCGCACAAATCATCTCATTTTTTGATGAAAATCGTTCACCACAAAAATTCTTTAAGTTTTGACAACAGTCGATAATCGCTAGGAACTAAATCTGGCTATTATGACGAATGATTAACTAAAATAAGAAGGAAAAGAAAGTAAAAGATGTTTCAACAAAACTGTTGATTCCTTAACAATTGTTTCGACCTCTAAAAGGTCACAAGTAACTTTTGTACTCTTGAAAATGACCTTTTAGAGGTCGAAACAATTGTCGAGAAATAAACAGTTTTGTTGAAACATCTTTTACTTTCTTTTCCTTTATTGAAAATGTTTAATCGAGAATACATCGTTGAAAGTTTAAATATTAAAATAAGAAGTCCGCCTTAGCTAATATAGAGTTTGACTGGGTGCGTTATCCTAATATAACATCTTTGTGGAATTTTCACCAACATTTTTCTTTTATTAACTGGTGTAATTTGGCAGTTGAATTGGGATAATAATAGGATGTGCAAAATGGTTTTTCAAAAGTATTTAAATACAAAACGCAAATACTTTTTTGATTTGTTATTTCAAATGTAAAATACAAAACAGATTTCCCTTTTGTATTTAAAATGCTAAATACAAAAGGGAAATC